GAAGAGAGTTTTCCTGATTGGGGGCCCCTGAGTCGTACCTTCTTGGGATGGCCAGTACGACTCCAGTGGGCCCTGATTATGCAGAGCCATGGCTTTGAGCAGCCTGGGTGGGACGATCTGATAGATGGAGACTTATGCTTGGTCCGCAACGGTATTGAGGTGGCGACGTCGATTAATACCAGAAGTTCGTTGACAGAGATATAACAGATGCTTGCGATATTGTAATTAATGAGCTTCCTTCGGAGACGTTGAGAATGGACTGTATTTGGAGACGATATATTGGACTGTAGAGTAAGGAAAGAAAAGAATGATGACACTAATACTAATCATTGAGATGATGAAATGACAGTTGTGCAAATTTGGAGATAACGATTGTATTACCATCAACCTAGGTATTAAGCCAGTACCATTTTGAAGAAATGAGAAACCTCTAGATTTTCATCCAAATCCGCGGATAAACAGTGCCAACGCAGGGAGATTGGGTTCGATAGTCTCACGGTCCTAAGAACATCTATGCATGAGAGGAAAGCAAACCGCCAGGGCGAAATATGCCGGATCTACTACTACTGTGCGGCCCCTGAAGTTCCTGAACCTGGGTGGCACCAGCGGAGTAGGTACATGTAAGCTTCGGGCACTTTTCTTGAAACAATTTGGGTCTGCACAAGTCGAAGTGGACAAAGCTGTGGTTGAGTCACTGTCCACGCCGTTCATGATTCATTGTACCGTGTTATGAGATGTGCATCATTGCAAGCCAGATCTTCCGGGGCAGATGTGAGATGGTGCTCAATGCTGTCGCCAAGCTCTTGTCGGCACCATCAAAATTGTGCTCTCTGCACCGCACAGGCAATATTTATACTTCAAGGTTCATCGTGCATAGGTGCAATGTGTCCAGAGCTTAGAGCCCAGAGCGCTTTAATCTGTTGCCACGTACCTCTTCATAGACGCTGGTCAGATGCCAAAAAACACGCATTGCGGAGTGGTTATCCTCATCGCTCGGCCTAGAAGTATCTGAGGATCGGACCAATCGTCCTGTAATGATCCGAGATGCAAATTGTCCGGGCGTTGCTGACTGTTGAGCCTTGACGCATACAGCATTGACACGGCAGTAATAGGCGTAGCTCATCTGCCAGCGCTGGCATCGTTTGGAAGCAAAGGCTTTTGTTGGGAAAGTTTTCTTGCCTAAATAGGTAGTGAAAGTAGTAAGATATGCGACTGTAAGCAAGGCACATATGCAGCCGCATAAAAATGGGCAATGTTAGTGGCACGCGTATGTATCTATGCGTCTTCATCGAGACAGCCGCTGCATTCGAGTGATTGTCCAGTCTCCACACAAACGGCCGGCTATCGCATGGCAGCGAAGAAGGGAAGATGAAGCATGTGGGTAAATGATGGCAAAGGACAGGCCGCTTCCAAAAGAGACGGAGGTTGGTGGGTGTCAAAGAGGTCAGGGTACAGGAATAGATAGAGATGGTATCGTGGTCAAGAGAAAGATGCTCTCGGTACCATACAATTTTTCATGGTAATAAAAGATCTAAGGTAGTCTGATCTAAGGTAAGTACTTTAGTATGATGGCGAAGAGTGGGAGAAATTGAATTAGGTAGGTACTTTAGTCACTATTTAAGGTACATCTGGTGCCTACTTTACAGTACTGCCTAGGAGAATATTAAACTTGCGGCTTGCTCGAGCCCGTAGAGTTAGCGTTGGACAGCCGGCCTGTTGGATCTGATGGCGATTCGACTGTCCAATCATAACATGTATTGCAGTTTCCTGTACAGAGTAGAGAGTAGATAAGTACCGGTATGTAAGAATGTACCTTGTAGACAAGCTGATTATCAGTATTGTAGAAGCGCACCTAGCAGCGAACGGCTTCATGCAATGCTGAAGGATGCTCCTGCGTCATGCGTCATGTAGGTACTAGTACGGGCCTGCTTTCTTTATTCCGTTTCCCCTCTTTTTGTCTCCGTTAGATTGAACGCTAATGCACCCCAGTGCCCACAGCCAAATGTGTGGCCGTTCGGGAAATTCCTTCAGCAATCACATCCACAATCACAATCGAAAACCACGGCTTGTGCGGATGGAAGCATGGAGAAGCGCAAAGCCGCATTATATACCTAGTTAGACCTCAGACTTGGATTGCCAGATAGAAAATGATACTGAAACAGACAAGGTACGGTAAGATGGCCAAATAATCGACCTCAGGTGCTTTACTGGTGACTGTATAATTTAGACATATGGTCGAAGGCTCGTCGAGCGTCATTTTGGGCCACGGGAAGCAGATGGACAGAAGATTGTAAATTGCAAGACAAGCACGCCAGGCTTGAAACAGCAGGCCCGGCCGGTTTCACGTGGTCAATCCTTCGGTTTAGCTGAGGGGCAGCTAGGACTCCGCTTGGTGCCACTTCTAGGGGGCTTTTTGGAGGGACCTAAAAACATGTACATTACATATCGATTGGCATTAGGTACCTTCTCTTGTCCACGGTATTCATATTTGACGCACTATTTGCATCTGACCACAGAGCTTCACGGAACCATCCTTTCGTGATCAGACCGATTCTCATACCGTTGAACCGTTAAACCCGCAGCTACTGGTCGGGTCTTTTTTTTTCTTTTTTTTTTGCTTCCCGGAGTGACGAGGCGTGCATGGCTGCGCTCTGGAAATAAATAGGCGCAGCAATGGATGGTGGAGAGGTGGGATGTTCATGTCACGAGCGTAACTACACTAACCTTAGGGTAGGAGTTGCGGTTGGCTACGATCATGCAGCCTCTTTAAATTTCCTAGCCAATAGATGGCTTGAAACCCACACCCCATTCATCATTTCAACCATTTTACCCTTGCCCTCACAGGTACACACTCTCCCCACCATCAAACCGTTAAACCTTCCGTCGACTTCCAGGGTTATTATTTTGGCGATTGTCGATCTTACCGTGCTGTAAACGGTACACGCACATGTCCTGCGGCCCTGCCTTCATAATCTATATGATAAGCCGGCCTTTCCTTCTGCGGCGCGGCTGACTATAACCACCGTACTCCATCCTCAGCTCCATTATTATTACTCTTCCACAATCCCCATGTTGGATACTACCAACCAACACTGTCCTTCTGAAACCGTGCTGTACGCCTTGTTACAGTGACATTGCCTAATCTTCCTACGCTCAGCTCACATCCATCATCGTCATCATCATCATCAACTTGGTTCATGAATGAAAGCATAGCCTCCCATCCTGACCACCATCCTACAATCAGCACCATCCAGCAGTAGTGGTTATGCCTGTCCTCCATCATCGACACTCAGTATCAGGTTCACGACAATTAGACGGTGCAAAGCAAAGTATCAAAAGCAACAACGCCATGGCAGACCATTTATGGATCCTGGACGAGACTTACGAGAGGCCCGAGAAGGAAAGGCATCTCCTGTCGACAACAATCGGCAGAGTGCCCTCGAAGAAGGAGAACCCAAACCATCTCCGCATCGACACATACAGCAAAGCGAATCTTCATGATCGCTACATGTCGAGCGAGGAAGAACCCTCTCCCAGTCCCGATAGCGACACGGAGAGCAATGAAGAGGAGCTCAAGCACAAGGTTCCAGAGAAAGTTGTCGAGGCGACTACCGAGCCAGTCACCGCCGACGAATACGAAGCCGAGATTGCTATTGCTGTTCCCATACTCGCAATGGGCAAACCGAAGTTGGTGGACATCACCAACCTCGCCCCAATGCACAAACGCAAGCGAGCGGAGAAGTCGGTGATTTCACGCTCACTTGTGAAGAACGCCACCCTCCGCATGCCCACGGTCACAGACGAGAACAGGCCCTTGGTCGCTTCTGAAGCCACAAAGATTGTTACTCCAGAGGCTGGTCTTCCGACGCGCAAAGCCAGCCTCCGCTCGCTAGCTCCCGACTCATGGCTTCCTGATGACGGTGTTCGCATTGTGCAAGAGGAGGAGGAGGAGGAAGATGAGCATTACTTCCCCGATCTTGAACTACGCAAGGCTCCCACCTACAATGACTACGACCCATACTCGCTCAGTCCGCCACGCCTGTCCCCTAGGAACTCATACAACTCGACCAGCAAGAAGCCGGGTAGCGTTGCTCGGGCCAGAAACACTTCCAACCCACCCACCACCATGAACAGTGGCTGGAAAGGGCTCACCAGGTCGATGAGTCTGGCAAAGAAGCAGGCTCTTCATCGAGCGGATCATCAAGTCTCCAAAAAACCGAAGATGATCGCCAGGGCGGCGGACGAGAGGGAAGAACCTCTGATAATACCAGCGTTTCCGTTCGGGGATGGCAGAGGCGTGGATTGAGGAGATACACCAAGCTTGACATGGCGGCATATGTACACACGGGAGATGATCATGATATGATATTGATGGACACACTGGGATCACGGGATGAAATATGAGGTTTTGCGCAGCATGCATCAGCGATAGATACCTTCCACGTTCGTTGTTTACTTAATTTTGTACCTCTTAATGAAATTTCCAGAAACAAAACTTGACAGAAAATTAGAGTAACTCAATTTCGTTGACCTCCCACACGGCTGGTGCTGCCGACATGTTACTAGAAGTGCACTAATCTGAATGCGGGCTAGGTGCTCGTGACGGAGAAAATCTTGTACGAGCAGCATTGCTCCTCGTCTCTCTCAGGTCGATTTCTCCATCTATTTGTGGCATTAGCCTTTACAACTTTACAGTGCTATGAGACCTCGAGTCTACAGAGCTGAAAATCTTGTTAGATAAAAAAAAAATTGGGTAGACGGAAGAATTTTGAAAGGGAACAGATTGCTTATCTCCACCAAGAAGATTTGTTTGGTGTAGGCATTGTGCCTAGATACTAGGGTGTCCAGCCAGTGAGCATTCGGGTCACAGAATTTCGAACCTCGGCCGGTTATCATCCACTAATACAAGCTCTGCTTCGCTCTCCGTTGCCCAGTTGGTATTGATCGTGCATCTTCTGTAGTGAAGCAAATCAGATCTCTGGCGTGTTACCATCATCGCTATGGATCAACACTCCATTGGTTCGTCGGCACTGGAGTCGAGGGTCCTAATTATCATGACTGGCGGAACCATATGCATGAAGAGAAGCCCAAATGGCTTCGTGCCTGCAAGAGGGTTCTTGGAGTCTGGCATGGCTCCTCGTCCTTCATTTAACGACTTTTCCAATCCCGATGATATTGTTGTCGTGGTCGACGACGGGACCGAGGTGTCTCACCGTAGCCTGCGAACGCCGATCAGTACGTATCAAAAGCATGTTCGGTATGCTGTGTTCGAGTTTCAAGAGCTTCTGGATAGTTCCTCAATTTCCTCTGAAGGGTGGAGCCAAATTGCTCAGACAATCTTCAGAAATTACAAGCTCTTCGACGCCTTTGTCATCTTACATGGCACAGACAGCCTTGCCTATACGTGCTCTGCGCTCAGTTTCATGCTGCAAAATCTAGGGAAGCCGGTCATCTTGACAGGAAGCCAAGCGCCAATGCTAGAGCTCCAAAATGATGCCACAGATAACTTGTTAGGATCCTTGATCATTGCCGGCCACTTTATGATACCTGAAGTATGCCTCTTCTTTAATTACAACCTTTTTCGCGGAAACAGGACTACCAAAGTCTCTGCTAGCGATTTTTCAGCCTTTGCGTCGCCAAATGCGCCTCCATTGTACGTACATTTGGGAGATGATCCTGCACATTTGGTACCGAGATTGAGTTGCGAGACATGTTTCGGGAGAAATTTTACCTTTCTACCCCCGAGACCTGTCTTGCAACTCCAGTCTTTGCCGCGAACAAGCAATGCTGACTCCGTAATCTGCGTAGAGGAACTATCTCATCACTCAAGACCCACGTGAAATGGGAACTGATCCACAGGCCAACGCATCTCGAGCCATTTAGTATACAAACGAATCGTGCAACGGGCGATGTAGCTTGTCTGAGGATCTTTCCCGGCATAGAGCCCCGAATGGTCGAAGCTGTGCTTCAGCTTGATGGCCTTAAAGGTCTAGTGCTAGTACGCATTTCCGCAGCCCGTATTTCCCCTTTTTGAGGCAAGTCTTGAGCTTTAAACATGTCTTGGGAGTCTCTACTCTCGAAACATGTTCCAAGGGTCGATATAACCCCTCAAATAGGCAATTCTGACGGCGAAATTGTGATACAGGAGACTTTTGGCGCAGGGAATGCCCCTGGAGGACCTGATGGAGCTCTCACCAAAGTGTTTGCAAACGCAATCAGAAGAGGCGTCATTATTGTCAATATCACTCAGTGTGAGAATATCCACTCATGTACCCGGATTGCACTAATCCCCATTGTAGGCATGACCGGAACTGTCAGTCCCCTGTATGAACCCGCGATGTTGCTGAAGCATGCTGGCGTCATTCCTGGGCATGATATGACCTCCGAGGCCGCCCTTGCGAAGCTTTCCTATCTCCTTGCGATGCCAGGCTTAAACCCTGAAGATATCGTACAGAAGATGTCTGTTTCTTTGAGAGGTGAGATGACAGAGCAGGTGAACATGGTATTTGAGCACCCCAGCGGCGTGTTACCTGACCGACTAGCACGTCTTACGTCCCTTGGATATGCTATCTCCAAGGGGGACGTTCCCGAGATCCAGAAGCTTTTGAAGGGCGATCATGGCTGGCTGCTCAACGAGGCCGATTACTCCGGCAATACGCCTTTGGTGAGTACCCACGCATCATTGACGGCATTGTTAAGCTAAGCATTCACGAAAGCACATTGCCGCTACAGGACCTAGTCTAGAAATCCTTCGGATCCTGCTGACAAAAGGCGCTTCAGTGCACCTGCGAAACAACACCGGCCGAACGCCTTTGTTTGCCTCAGCCAATGCCGGACTCATGGAACATGTCTCCCTACTCAAACGATCAGGGGCTCATGTCCATGCGGACGAGCTCAGCATGGCTCGATTGCTCGCTCAAAGTTCACCAGACGTATGGAGCATGGTTGGAGTGGCGTAGTTAAGGTTCCGGGTCCAAATTTAGCCGCCGTTCACTCTTCGCGAAAATTTGTGGAGATAAAGTAACATCTGCTGTGACATTGTTATGCAGTGAAGCATCCTTTCCTTCCAAGGTGCCGGTCACTACTCTAAAGAGTTGCTTCAATAACACCAGGCAGAGATCTGGACGCAAATGCACCGAGAACCCCAGCTTCAAATGTCTCCGTACCAATTAATAGCATCAATTGGCTTGCGTGCCGTCGCGTCGAAGCTGAAATCTACGACCGTCTTCTGAACAAATTATTGTATCCAAGAGCCAACCGTCCCTGGGGTGAATCATTGACCTGTTGGATGTGCAGAAGCGACGCCAGAAAAAGTCGTAGTTGTGGGGGTACCGATCCCGAATATATCAAACATTCCAGCATGAAGAGAGAAGTTTCCCGTCCGCTCAAAATTGGGACGAAATGCTCCTACGCATCATCAGCTAGTTCATACGGCTTAAGCCTATGATCGTGCAAGATCAGAGCAGGCCAGCGCTCGAGACTGTTAGGTATTTGGGGCATTTTAGCTATGCGCGCCACGGCTTGTTTGGGGTGAGAATCAGGTGGTTGTTTTTGGAAGGATAGAGGTGGTGCTTTGCGCGAAGGATTTTCCAGTTGAAGATGATTTCTCCAAAGCCTTTGATGGCTTGCTGGAAGGCTACGTGCACCAGATACCCAAAGTAGCTGCCAGAATGCCTACGAACAGATGGCCAGGCCCCAGCTGAACAGCAGGACGAGTCCACTCGATGAGCCCCCTGGAACACCTTTCCAGCTGCCTATGTTCAATAATGTCCTCGATCCAACCTCGAATTTGTGAAAGCATGTGTTCTCTGGTGATTGGTTATAGTGACCATTTTCGGGATAGTTTCCAGTCCACGTGCTATTACTTATTAGCCTTCCCGTGAGTCCAAGGGACGGCTAGATGCTGCAAAAGGCCGTAACAGATCAACCTCCTCCTTGTCCTCGGAAGCGATGATGCAAACTTCCGCACCAAATACAACCGTAGTAGAGGCCCATAGATTCTTCTTCTTTCTCTCTTTGCGAGACGAGTGATTTTGGTCAGACTCGGTGGATACTCGAGGTGTTTTGATCGCCCGATGGATCTTCTCGCGTTTGACTCGAAGCAGAAGTATTATCCGTTGCTTTTCGCTAATCATGATTGTGAAGAGAAGACGAGGTTGTTGGACTACCTTACTTTTCGGTTGTTTGGACTCGCTTATAACCAATAAAGCCTCACCCGTATATTTTTCGCACTTTTTCAAGCTTTTTAGACCCTCAGACGGGATTACGTAAATATATCAGTCCGTGCTTTTTACTTTACTGTTTTCACACCATCAATCATTCGACCATTACCATTACCATTACCATTATCATCATCATCATCATCATCATCATCGAACAACGCCCCTTGGAACGTTGCAGATACACGTTATCCGAACGAGGACTACCATTTGTTGCCCCTCCTCCTCAACGCAGCCCAGTTAGGATGAATGCATACAACGATTGTTTACTCTACATGATAATTTGTTTGAAAGATGGATGAATTGATCGTCTCCGCGGATCTATCTACCAATCAAGTGGCATCGGAGCTTTGTCCGCGTGAGGATCGACTCGATACTATCACGCACACGGTCACACAATACCTTCCTCGCCTTCTGCACACCGCTGACTCTCCTCCACATCCTGTTCAAACGAGCCAAGCAGCATATGATTCTATGACTCTCTATCTTGCTCAGTCACCGTATCGTCATATCGTGTCATGAGATGTCACCGTGTCGACGGTTCAGAGCTAAGAAAAGACGGCTTTCCTTGACTTTCCTTATCAAAAAAACTCTGATTGTGGGGGAAAATAGAGTATACTCTAAAGTACCTTACATACCAGAGTAGTACGAGTAGTTCAATTCTTCCTTTCTTCCCCGTTCTCCCCCGTTCTCGTCCATATTATTCTTATTATTACTACTACTTCATTCTTCCACCATTCCAGTACCAAACAATATCTCTGCCCTACCCAACAACTCTATTTCCCCAGCTTTTTCCCCGTTTCCGTTTCCCGTTTCCCATACCACTTGCCCTCCTCTCCTTGACCTTGCGTGATCCCAGCTCCCCTTGCATCATCTCCTCCTCCTCCTCCTCCTCCTCCTCCTCCTCCTCCTCCTCCTCCTCCTCCACTTGCATTTCTTCCATGCACTCCCTCCAACGTCTCTCAGTTCAAGCCCTGCTTTAGTGGACTCCATACTGTTCTTTTCACATTACCATATCCCTTTGATTTCCTGCAGCAATTCACATGACAAACAAAACACTAGTAATCGTCAATGCTACAGGCCGACAAGCTGCTTCCCTTGCTCGTGTCGCCTCGGCAGTAGGGTAAAATCATGTCCCCTCAATCATCCTCGCCCCTACCGAGGCGGAGACACGGTGACACTGATAGGCGGGTAGGTATCAGGTCAGAGCCCATGTTAGTCAGAAGACCACCCCCGTGGGCCAAGAGCTTGAAGCCCTCCAAAATGTTATCCTCATCCAAGGCTCCCTCGAAGACAAAGAGCTCGTAGCAGACCTCTTCGCAGGTGCTCACAAGGCATTCATCAATACCATCTCATGGGGCGACGAGGTGGCCATTGGCAAATCGCTGGCCGATGCGGCCAAGAAAGCTCATGTCCAGCAATATGTCTACAGCAGCATGCCTGATCATAGTGTCTTCGGGAAGGGTTGGCCGTCGGTGCCATTGTGGAGCTGTAAATTTACGGTCGAGAATTACATGTGAGTGAAACATGTTCACTCTTGTCCATGGCAAGCCGATGCTGATACTGTACACAGACGGCAGGTGAGAGAAAACGGTTGTTCTTTAATACGACCTCAGTGCTGATACCAGTACTTCTGAACCTAGATCGGTCTCCCTGCTACCTTTGTCTATACAGGCATCTATAGTGGGTGAGGTGGACGCCAAGGAGAGCGAAAGAAGACTGACGATGGCCAGACAATAACTTCACTAGCCTCCCTATGCCTCTGTTCCGCATGGCTCTACAACCTGACGGTAGTTTCGAGTGGAAGGCACCATTTGATCCCCACATTGCCATCCCTTGGTTTGACGCAGAGCATGACACTGGTCCTGCGGTCCTTCAGATACTCAAGGACGGACCGCAGAAATGGTCCGGACATCGGTATGTTTATTCATGTCCATCGTCCTCCCCAAAAGTGTCATGATCGCTGACGGTCTACCACCTCCAGCATCGCCTTAGCATTCGAGCTTCTCACTCCCACTCGTGTATGTCGCCTCTTTTCTTGTGCCTTACGCCGCCCAGTCCGCTACGTCTACAGTCAGACCATCAATATCGAAGTCAGCGTTCCAAACGGCTACAGAGAACAACTCCTAGCATTAGAGGTGTTGTTTGGAAAATACAAAGCTCCGTATTTTGGCATGGACCTGGAAAGGGGCGTTTCAAGGGAAGTAAATGATGCCAATGGCTGGAACGGAGACGGTAGCGGTGGCGATAGTGGGAAAGGCACTGCAGTCGAAGAAGCAAGAGCATTGTGGCCCGGTTGGAGAGGGATCGAAGAATATGCCCGGGAGGTGTTTGTATGTGCCCATGGGAGACATCTTGGTGGTTGATCTGAAGCTGATGAGGATATCAGCCGTTAGAGGAAGCTGCTCACGGGCTAACCTGGATGAACGAAGAGACATGACCTGATTATTGGCGTTGGGCCTACGTGCGGAAAAGTCGGCGTATTCATCGTAACCGTGTTAGGAGAGCATGCATTTGCTAGGCGGCTTACTGTGTTGTGGTGCAGTGGAGCAAAGACGATCATCCCTTTCAATCGCTCATCAAGCGTGATCACGCAGTATGCCCCAGATAGCATTGGGGGGTGGCTCCACATTTGATGCTAAAAGTTCTGCCCCAGTCTGGGGTGTTCAAGCATCCATGTATGCAGAGTAAACAAGCAGAAGTCATCAATGTGGACAATGTAAGAAGGCCATGTGGTAGCCACAAGCCTTGACGTTTCCGCCCAATTTGATAATGGCTCACTGTGGCCTCGGTCAATTTCCAGTTTCTATGCGATCTATAAACACTGGTCTCTTTATTTACTTGGCCCCGGCTCCATCTCCTTGAAACCGCCGTCTGTTTCCCATACGCCTGCTTTGGTAAAATCCCCGGTCTCGCTTCCACTCATGTATCCAAACCTGAAGTACTCTTTCTCCATCTCATCGTTCCTGTAGAACGTATGCGAAGGGTCTCCTTCGCCATAGTACCACCGATGCCTTTCGACATCATTCACAAGCACGCTGACACCATCATACGGATGCGGGGGCCGGCTCCATAAGAAAGTGATGTTGGATGAACCAAGTACTGGCGCTGTGATGTCCGGCAGAAGCGAACCCAACTGTCCGTCCCCACGTAGATCCACCGTTGTCTGCAATATGGAATCAAAACCCCAGCGAGCGACGCCGTTGATGAACAAGCCTACGAGAATACCCTGATAGAGCAAGCCTGGCCTTGTCTGCGGACGCGTACCCGGCAGCAGTAGGAGGGCCAGTACATAGTGATGAATGCGAAGATTGAGAGGAGGTAGAGCGACACAGAGGAGTAGGAAAGCCACGAAAATGGAGTAGATGGCTAGGTAGCGAGGGAAGCGTCCTTCGAGCCGGAGATACCAGACCTGGCCAAGCGCAATGGTAAAAATTAGGAGTACGACCAGGACCAAAGCAAGTTTTGCTCCAGCCTGCACTTTGAGGTCGTGTGGAGTTAGGCGTTGTAGAGGAATGAAGGCGAATGTGTAGTTGTTGAGACCGCCCACCCACGCTCCACCAAGCCACAGGACTGTTCTCTCGATGTTGGCTGTCAGGCCCGTCTGTTGGGGTTTGACGGAAAAGCGGTATATGACGAATGCCACGAACGCTGCTGGTAGAAAACGGCCAATGACAAGTGACGTGAGCGAGGCATAATCAGAGTGGTTTGGCGGATCTGAGACAAGTCCGACGTGGAAAAAGAGCATGGTGAATATCGAGCAGAAGAAGACAGGCGGGGAAGTCGTGCAGAGGGATAGGATGGTAGTGAACCCGCAAGTGACGGCGAGGAGCGGCCAACGCAGGTCCCTTACGCACTGCGATGAGAGTCCGGAGATGAACGTAAAGGATTTTGGAAAGCTTGAATCAAATCCAATGCTCTGAATCCCATGCCGTTTTGTGGATGTGAAATTACTTTGCGGGCCGGAGAGAAGAGCGACACCACACCCACCATTATCATTGCCAACGAGACCCGCATGTATGGCTGCTTGACATATAAACGAGTCACCGCGATAGACAGTGTCTGGAATAGTGAAGTTCTCTTTTCTCCTTGTTGGTCCGCCAATCACATACGGCTGGTAGTTAATCTCCTGGTCACCCACCGCATGTGGGTTTAGCACCTTCACAGCCTTACAATTGGCAGGACATCTAAAGGCGAGGGTAGCATTGTCAAAAGGGCGACATCTGTTTCCGTTCAAGCCACAGCTGTTACCGGGATTCCTACTGCAGTCAGTATTGAGCATCCCGGGATCTAGAGTACGGCTCACCAGAAGCTTGCTCCGCACCAGATCGGTTGCGGTTTGCCGTAACCTTCGATGTTGCCAGCTTGTGCAGAGTGGTTGAGCACCAGAATGAAGGTCAAGAGCCAGCAGAAGTAGAAAAAGGCTAGTAGAGCAGCCTTATGTCTTTGCTTCGGTAGGTGATTAGCAATGAACCTTGCCAGTGATTCTTGTATCCACGGGAAGAAGGGCGTGATCTTCTGTAATTGAGGCGGATCAGGCCCTTTAGACCAGGCTACGACCGCTCGAGCAGCTTGTCGAACGCGGACAGGCACCCATCTCCAGTGAAAAGACTTTGATGACTCGCGCAGCCAGACTGGGAGAGGAGATTGACTATCTCCCGCGTCTGATGACCCAGACTGCACATGCATATCCGATCCCCCGGGTGTAGATGCTTCAGGTCCATCATCTCTCTCTTCGTACTGCCAGGCAGGCTGTTCATCAAGTAGCGCGCCGTTTTCGGCGTCATCATTATGGTTTTCAGGGCCCATGACGGTGTAAGGAAGCAGGCGAATGAAGTCCTGCAGATTGGTTAGCTGCGCTCACTCATAATAGATCTCCGACAGCCTACTGGTGCGATGGGCTCCGGGGAAGAGTCGCGCACGGTGCCTGCATGCTCCAATGACTCTACCTAATCAAGGTAGGATGTAAAAGTAGCGCATCTTTCGACGAGCAGGTAGTGCGAGGACAGGATGAAAGGGATGGAAGAGTGGTTATAGGCTTACGGTAGGGTCGTCGTCCTTAGACTTGACCGCCAGTCTGCAGTCTGCACTTTGCAAGCCAAGTGTCAAGAAGTAAGAAATAAGAATTGCGCCGGGAAGGAAACCCTGTGTCTCCGATTGGTTGAATCGTAATCGTACCAGCTTCGGTGGACGGCAGTGAATTACACACTTTGGGTCGTGTTGTGCAGTGCCCCTAAATCGAGAAGATTGTAGAAGCAGTTGCTTTTGAAGCGCGCACTTGTTCAGGTATTAAATCCTGAGAAATTGAGAAATTGCTCGATTCAAGGCGAGGCATGGAGCTCAAAGAATGATGCGATTTTTATCTACAATCACCTTGTCAGTCTTTAAAGAGGAAGATGATTGTATTGAATTAAGTCGATATAATACGGGCCTCGGACCCTCGCCTAAAGAAAATTGAATAGAGATGTCGACTATCAAGCGCACGCAAATCCTTCGGTTTTATGACAATTGTAGTCGTACGAGATCGATTGAATGAGTAAGACCGGCCTGGTGCCGCTTAGAGTACAGCCAATCTTGATACCTCGCTGCCCCTCAACTCGCTGTCACAGTACTCCTTTGTATGATTTGATCTCACTATATGTTTCCCCTCGTTTAATAGTACCTATAAACCTCCTCAAACAGAGGAAGCAAAGGCGACATAGAATGATGGTAAGATTAGGACTGGCAAGGTTGGTATGCGATTCTTCATCTGCTTGTTGATAATCTGGGTGGTGTAGGCTAGGGATATTCGCGTGACGCTGAACTTTTAGACTGGGCTGTACCCTACTATAATAAGTGGAGCCGTAAAACAAGGGTTGGTCGTTATCGTACACCGTACCAGCGTCATTGACTAGATACTCATTACCAAGCACGTACACCTGGGTCGGCGCTGACAAACATCGTTATCATTATCCTCGCCGCATGCTGATCAAATTTTCGACTTCTTGAGGGTCTCAGTACTGGGTACGAGTAGTCTTGCATCCCATCTCTTCAGCGTTTCCATTATTGCCAGTGTTTGCCAGTATGGAAGCATCAACAATTACTGATAGCCGGCCAGAGCCCATTGATCTGAGCCATCTCTACTCCAAGGTCACTTCAAACCGGACCACGAGCAATGTCAAAGACTTCTACAAGTACTTTACAATCCCTGGGATTGGTAATTTGGCTGGAGGCCTTCCAAACAACAACTACTTCCCTTTCGATACTCTCGAAGCTGCCGCAGCTCTACCCCAGCGCTTCATTCCTACTCCCAACAAGCCCGTCGATCCTCCCTCAGAGCTGCTATCTAAGACCACACTCTCAAATGGAATCTCCTCATCGCGAGTCGTTGTCCCAAAGACCTCAGATAACCAAAATGTCCTCCGCAAAATCGACCTCAAGACCGCGCTCCAGTATGGCACGGCCCAAGGGTACCCTCCGCTCTATAGCTTCCTCCGCCAATTCACCATTGAGAACCTTCACCCAAACGTTCCATACGCCGGAGGTCCTGAGATCATTTTGACATGTGGTGCAACGGATGGGTTCTGCAAGGCAATAGACGCACTGAGCAATACGTGGAACGAAGATAGAGATTGGATTGGTCATCGAGAGGGATTGCTGGTTGAAGAGTTCTGCTACATGAACGCAATTCAGGCTGCGAAGCCGCGAGGACTAAACATTGTTCCTGTAGCGATTGATGACGAGGGAATGGTAGCCCATGGTAGAGGTGGATTGTATGACGTCCTGGACAATTGGGACAAAAGCAGGGGAAAGAGACCGCACATGATTTATACCGTGACGTAAGACCCCATGTATGCCATTTGATCTTGATTGGACTCACGCCGAGCCAGGATCGGCCAGAATCCGACTTCTGGAACCCTCAGTGTCCAACGCCGCAAAGACATTTACGCAGTTTGTGTCAAGTTCGACGTGGTGATTATCGAAGACGACCCATACTGGTATCTCCAATATCCTTCGGCTAACGAGTCTTCCCTTGCCCACCGAGGTCGGCCTGCTGCCAATGCTCATTCAGATCATCCCGACCTTAACCCCCCCGAATCACAAAAGTCCTCCGGATATCCATTCCTCGATTCTCTTGTCCCTAGCTACCTCTCTGTCGACTACCAAGGCCGTGTGGTCCGTCTCGATACATTCTCCAAGACTGTCGCTCCAGGTTGCCGCCTTGGCTGGATAACCACCCAACCAAACCTCTGTGAACGACTGCTTCGCATCACTGAGACTTCAACCCAGCAGCCTTCTGGCTTCGTTCAGTCGATGATCGCCGAGCTTATAATGGGGCCTCATGACCCTAAGCATGGCCGTGGCGGTGGAAAGAGCGATGGGGGATGGCAAGTGGACGGCTGGGTCCGCTGGCTTCAAGGTCTGCGTGGGAATTATGAGCGGAGGATGCAGACCATGTGCTCCATTCTTGAAGGAGGAAAAGAGCTAGTCAAATCTGGCCGCCGCAAGAGCATCGATATTGAATGGAGCGTCGTTGAGAAGGTCACTCTCTTTGATTTTATATGGCCGCTTGGTGGCATGTTCGTATGGTCAGTCCCTTTTGTCTTTTAACACTTTGTTGTGTCTCGGGTCTAATCCTAGTCAGGGTCCATGTTAACTTCCCCTCCCACCCACTTTGGAACAAAACCACGCCCGCCAAGCTTGCACAGGGGCTATGGGTCCATTTGACCTCGAAGAAGTACCTGGTGCTGGTTGCGCCCGGCTCCATATTCGCTCCAACCGATGAGATCAGAGACAAGCGAAGTTGGGCGTACTTCAGAATCTGTTTCGCAGCCGTGGACGAGCCCGAAGTCGAGGAGATGAGCAGGCGGTTCGTCAATGGGGTGAAGGATTTCTGGGGAAAGAAGAGCTTGGATGATATCGAGGAGATGGGTACAAGAGGGCTCGAGGCAAGCGAGGGATTGGCCGACTTAATAGGCGGATGTTGAGCTGGATCGTCGAGATAAGGCAGGATGAGATGAACGAGGGCGTGGCAAGGTGGGCTTGCTGCCTTCGATGTGAGAATGAGAAGATGGATGACGAGCATGATCTTGAGCAGCTTCAGACAGATGACGCGGGTATCCGCAAAACACACAACATCTCCGTGCAGTGTTTCAACTCCAAATGGAAAGCCAACAGCCAATTTCATGCACTGCGGTTCAGCCAACTCATCCATGCAGATGCATATTCCTCTACTTCCGCTGCATCCGCCTTTCGTATTTGTCTTCCCTCTTGCTTTGCTAGCAACTCCTCTCTCTCCTTCCTCCATTCTTCAACTCGATTCTCATATTCTTCTCTTTTACCAAATCTGCTCAATGATTCTTGGAGGACACCCTCACGCGAGAGTTGTGCGTTTTTCTCCTTCTGCTGTCCAACCAAATGCGCATTTTCGGGCAGCCAATCTTCAATAAATACCCTATACAACTCCCTTTGGACCATCCTCTTCCGATCATTAGCCTTCCGCTCGCCTCTCGCATACCTCTCGTCGCTGAAAAATCGGCATCCGCTGACATATCTATACATTGACTCGACGCTCTCAAAAGGGCGCTTGTGGGCGTCCGTGTTGAGACCAAGAAACTCGAGTACGGCATCCGGATCGCACGTCAAGAACAGCAAAGCCTTTTTCCTGTTCAAGTCCTCGATTTCCTGAATTCGCACATGAAGGCCTGCATCGTTGGGTGTGAGACCAAACGGGCGAATAGTCGTTCCAAGCAGGCTCCACAGGTCGCCGTGGGACTGATGGAAAAGCTGCCAGTGAAAGGTTTCAGGCCGGGAGAGATGTAAGTCGAGTTGGACGTAGTTGTTTGGCAAGTAGGGATACGGGAGAGCAAAGGATGTGGTAGGGGATCCAAGAATGGTAAATATCCTCTCGGCTCCTAGTACTTTCGCGAGAGATTCAGCTGAGGTGGATGTGGATTTTGGAAGAGTGACGAGTATGTCAATGTCACCGTATGATGCCTTCTCCGGCGCTTCAATCGGCGTTGCAGTTTGGGTGTAAACGCTTGAGAGAAGCTGCAAGTATTGATCGCGTAGCACGAAGTAGATGTCCGGAGGCATCCGCGGTGTCGATAGTGGCGATGGGCCATCCGTAGCACCAGTAGTAAAGGCATGCCCACCCATTTGCGCGTTGCAAGATCAGTCACTATATTCCCACCCTCGAAACTGCACGGCTTTGCCACGGCACGGTGCTTATCCAAGTGGAACGTGTATCTAAGAATGCGGCAGTTGAAGCAGTGCAAAACCCTAACGAGGATGGAACGCAAATGTGCAGCGCAGCGTAATTCTTTCTATTGCAGTGCAACTGACGGTACTCTAGCCGGAGACCAGAGTTCCCCAGTGCTTATTCCGGTAGGGACGCTGCAAGACTTGAAGCAAGCAGCCGTTGCAACGTCCCTACAACCTTCTTTTCTTCCGGCTTGAAACCTGTACTTGTGCTGTCGTGCCGTCTCATTCTTAATCCTTTCTTTGCCCCTCGTTTGACACAGACAGAGCGAACCGTACTGTCTCAAAGCCTGCTTAGCAAGTTGCCTGCCCTAATTTCAGCTTACTTCTACGTACCCTGCCGAGCCTGAGACAAGTGAGCTTGCGGCCACAGAGCGCTGAACCTCACGGCTCAACGCCTTTGTTACAACCATCGCCCCTCCTTACTAGATTTAAGGTGCAGGGACTGATTCCAAGCTCTGTCTGTTATAATAGAGACCTTAGTGGTGGCAGGCCGACTGGGGACTCTCATACTTCCATTACGGGCGAAAGGGGGTCTGCCACCATTACAATGAAGCTTCTTAGAGACCTAATCTCCCGCTCTCTTACCCTCTCTACTTTTTATCAAGTCCTACGTGAGGCTAGCTCCTCTCTGCATGAACCTGCATTGCCACGTCTACCTTATGCGTCAACAAAGTACACAAGAACGGATGTTAATTAACGCCACGGGAGGAAGTTACAAGTTCCCCCAATGATGAAGACGAGGGCTTTCATTCTAGAGTATATCTGCTAGCAGTGCTCGGTCATAGTCGGTTCCAAGTTCCAACACGCTTGCGAGGTTGCAGATCTGAGTTCGATATATGGTGCAGGAAACAATGACGCCAATACAGGAATGAGACGTTAGCGGACCAATACATAAAAGCAAGATGAAAATATACTTCCGCTATCTTCGCTCTCATATGCTCAGACGTAGACTTGCCGTCTGGCAACTAGACGGCCCTTCCTTGTGGGGGGAAGTTGAAAGCTTCTGAGTGACGAAATAGCCTACTAGATGTCAGAATGGAATTAAGCGTTCAACAATGGTGCAGGTTCTGGAAAAACTTTAAGCGTGATATCCTCCGTGACCATACCGTTCGATGGTGAACCTAGCGGCTGGATTTTCTCGCCATTTGTTACAGGCGCGGTTGCTTGCAGGACGTGGGGATGCCTGTACCCGGTGCTTTTTTATCCTCCGTGCGTTTCATCAGGCATAACGGTACTCGGAGGCATCCGGCAACAAGTAATTCTCCGCTTTGCATCTTGGGCTGCGGCGCCAATCAGATACTCTAGCGAGGCAATGGAGGTCTAGGTTCCATCCGATGTCGATCTTTTGCGATATCAATCTTGAGTGCCTTACTCATGATTTACGAGAAGCGCGCATATGAGAATCGTCTTCGCGATCCATACAAATAGGCGAAGAATTGAACGAGCGGCGACTGCACATGCACATGCAGTCAAGAAGGTAGAATTCAAAGTCTCTGAAAATGGTACGCCTCCCCAAATACCAATCGCAGTTGATCTCTCCATGAGCAAGAGGTGTAGAATCATAGAGGAGGAAGACCATTGCATTCACCAAAAAAGTATAAGTACCAGCGGCAATAGTTGAACATTTATATACTCTACCATCATCGGTAAATTCAACATAGCATCGCATCGGCGTGCACGAGGAATACTGCATGAAGTCAGCGCTCTCCATGGGAGACTTTCGTTGAGAGGCGGCGCACTCGTACAAGCGCATGAATGGAAAGGGTGAAAAGCAACATCCATCTTCCCCGCGGAAGCGGATTCCTGCATTTTCATGTCCTTGTGGTAGAAAGAAGCAGATGTGAAGAGTAAGCGGCAAAGCCTGAAAGACATGTAGTGCGAGGATGATCATGCTAGGTATCTTATTTTCGAGAATGTTTGATGCACACATTCTCTCAGTCATAATAACGCAGAAGAGGTAGATTGAAATGCCATCCACCCAAACCCGCAATGTCTCACACTCGTAGTGGAGGTGGCTCAGACCCGTGGACAAAGTGGCGGGCTCACTTGTGGACAACCAATTGCAATACGTCGGCGAGTTAATTAGGATCGCCTCAGCATTAATGATAGTACTCGAGCTATTGAAGTTGTCATCGGAATAAAGTACCTTTAAGTTAGAAGAAGGCATGGTCGCTAGTCACCCACCACACCTGTGACATGCCGGGAACCGGGAAAGCAGAGAGAGGGAGAGATGGATCGTCAAGACTAAGGTACCGTAGTGGAAGATCACTATAAGCGCCTAGCACTAGGAGAGTCTAGGCTCTTCAGAGTAGGTACACGACTTAGAGGTGAGAAATATTTCCGATTGTTGTCGATATGACATTGACCAAAGATTCTGCATCTTTAAATCCTGCACGTCTTTGGTGAGAAAACCATCTTGTTGCTCAAAATAGAGGGTCGGAAGTCGGACCGCTGGCAATTCTGTGGTACTGGTAGCCCAAACTCGCGAAAAATTGCAAATTTCATGCAAGCTGCATATGCAGTAGCATGTAGGCAACCTTGAACTCTTCAATTGAGAGCAAGTCATTGAATTCTACACTCCAGGCTTGCTTTAGCCTTGACCCGCCCATTTGGTACCTTGCACGGAGATTTTCAAACGGCTCGATTCTCCCCATTTCGCTTGCTTCCTATCACATCAGAGCGTGCGTGCTTCTCTTCACCATACCTGTTGCTCCTTTTCCTCCGCTGCGTTCTGGGAGTCAGTGTCTGTGTATTTCCCCGGCCGCCGCACCGTTCTTTGGGCGACAAGAAAAGGGAAAGCGGCCGCCTCAAGCGGAAAATTGGGTGTAACACAATCCACGACTTCCGCCATCAAGATGGCTAGATGGTGCTCTACGTGACGCTTCTTGAGCTCTTCTGCTTTGTTTCAATGCGGTAGAGTCAGGGCAAGGTTCACGATCATCACGGCACATGAAAGATCCAGCTCGCACATGATCTACATTACGAATAATGAGCTGTCCCCGCATTCTGCACAATATCCATATTCCTACGACTTGTGGGTGAGCCGTCGTTGTAGGGTTCTGGTGATTGTCAAGGAAGACATACACGTCTCTCAGGCCTTTACCCGCCATTCCATTTCCCGATGATCCTATGTCACGAACGTACATCGGACCGTTTGGTAGAATTCTACCCATCCTCGATGGCAAGGAGCCTGAGCAGCAGCAACTTCCCGTTGACGAAACGCGAACGAACATGACGACATACCAGCTGCCTCCACCAGAAAGGCTGCAGTTTGGCAGTGACACTAGTCCTGGTTTTACAGAGCCGATGCGATACAATACTATAAGCCAGTCGAGAAAACCACCAAGAACAACCAGCCCTGTGTACAGTGAGCAGCCCAAGTCATCCCCCCATAAGCAACTGCCACCCGTTCGCCAACTCTTTTTCCCACCATCCTCGGATATTCAACCATCTCAGTATCCACCACAGCACGATGCCAACCTGTCCCAAAGACCCTCGAGTCTGCCTTCCGCTCCCCGATCAGTCCCCGATCAACCAGCTCCGGTCCCACAGTATCACTATCAAAGCAGCTTTCCTCAGCCCCCATTGCCTCCGCAAGTTCAAACCTCGATAGGCACTAAGGTCCTGGGAGACGACCTTGGGTACAGCCCTTCGGGTCGGCAGCCTCCAGCATCACCATACATTTCCCACCAAGGCTCAAACGCAACTTCCTATCCAACCTCCTATCCCGCTTACTCCGAACGACCCCCGCAAATTTCGTACTCTGTTGCACAACAAAACCATCATGCTCCACCACCAAATCCTCCATTGGATACTCCTCAGCCTCAACAGGTAATGCCGATGAATCCTCTTGTTCAATACTATCAAGAACATCCCAGCGACTACGACATGTCATTAGCCCCTATATCGCGTCACGAACAAAGCCCACAAGCCGCGGAGAATAGCGTCAAACCAATGGCGCGTGTGGTGGGAGAGACAGACGTACCAGGACAAGGTCCCAGCTGGGTATACGAGGATGGTACGACTTGTAAAAAGATCATCGATGGGGAGGAGGTCAATGCGCAGTGGGGTGTTACGAAGGCCGGCAAGCCACGCAAGCGTCTTGCAATTGCATGCACGACTTGCAGAGAGAAGAAGATAAAGTGCGACCCTGCAGAGCCAAAGTGTGTCCAATGCGAGAAGTTTGGCAGGGAATGCAGATTTACAACAGCGTGAGTCTTGAATTTACCAAAAACCCCATGTCAATCTGGTGTTTTGTGAAGCCATCGAATTCTCAACCGATCATGTCCGTGCTCTGTTTCTTGCTTTCAAACCTGCGACGGCTGAGGTCCAGTGAAATCTTGCATTTCTTACATCCCATTTAATGTACTGATGTTTTCTGTAGATTTCGCAATCAACGTACCAGTCCAGAGTCACCTTCTTACCATTCCCAGGCGCGTACTCCACCAATAAACATCAAGATCGAACCATCCACTCAGCCAAGTCTGCCGTCAGAACCTGTACCTGCCAGCGCGGAAGATCAGACATTGCTCAAACGACGAAACTCATCACCACAGATCAGCCAGGTCAAGATACCTGGAACAGGTGACGCAAAGTACCATAATCACAAACCACCCCTCAAAAAGCAACGATCAAGTCTCTCAGGAGCATTATCACCAAAAGCGGAGCGCAAAATTCTTCCATTAAAGAATCGCGTAGAGGAGGCTGGTCCCCAGAAATCAGAGACGATACACACAGAGATTGAATCGAAAATTGCCTTCGATCAGGTCGCTCCACTATTGTCTGCCAAAGCGGAGTTGAGGATAGTCGATGAACTCAAAGCTCGGAGAGATAGAGTCCTGCGGGCCATTGAACAGCAATGTGAGGATGATTGCCGGGAAGGAATGAAGCCATGCACTATAATGCTACGACTCGAAATCATGCACGGAGGTTTTTCTAAACCATGGGTGAAATGATCACCATCCTCTACAATTTGTCATTCCGGCAAGCGTACATACGTCCAAATCGACACACCCACATCAACTCCTATGCTTAGCTGCAAATTGAACATCCAATGGCCCTTGCAGATCACATCCTTTCCGTTTCCAAGAGCCTTTGTCGCTAGTACTTTCAAGTGCACAAAACCATTGGATACAAAGATGAACGCCCATCATAAAGTCTCCTACGATATTAATGCGAGTGCAGGAGGGGTTTTTGGAATTTTTAGAATTGAAATCCCCCTGGGCCGAGAAGAGCATAAAGACGATGACTTCTAAATACTAGCTGAAGAGTGGTGAACGACCATGCGAGTGTACGATACCCCTTTTGCTCACAGCATTTCGTCGCGGTCACAGACATGGCGTATCTGGCGTGTGTTGGGCATGGACGGGTCTAAAGTACGACAGGGGTGGGTGGTGAGGTATTTTACCACAAGTTGAGCGATTAGTTGGCTGGCAAGCTCATCATTCAAAACATAAAAGCAAGCGTTGAGCGAGAGCTGGAGAGCTGATATCGGGATGTACAGACCAATATGCAAACCGCTTCCAGCACTCCATGTGTTTAGATATTCGCTATGATCGCCCAATTCTACCCAGTGAGGTCCATGACTAGGCCTGTAGAAAGATAACATTTTTTCTTTATTATCAGTTGCTGTTTTGTCTCCAGCCATGGTGTCTTCATGCAAACGGAAGACACGAGCGATCGTCATGCCGAAATCGATGTAAAAGGCTTTGCGAAATTCGGATATACAATGTACAAAAATATTTATGTACATGAATAACGTTACCGCTGGCCAAAGGGCTCATCATTGACCCTTTGCGACTCCGGCACCTCTGCTGGATGTCCCACAGGTTCCAGCGGATAAGTTGTAGATGGTAAACTCTGAAGAAGCTTCCGGTGATGCTCATGTGCCTACCATTGAGAATCAGTGTTTGAATTCGAGTACTCACGATCTCTTAGAGGGGCTCTTACGAAGGGCAGGCCACAGTAACTACACCAGCAGATCTGAGGCTTGTCCACGTTAATGAAAATCCTCGGATGTCCCAATGGCCCTCCACCTCCATCACAGGACACAGTCCTTGTCTTGGTCCATCTTACGGGCTGCTTGTGAATGAGACTGATGGCTGCTTCCGGTTGGGGCTACGCAGTTTCCGTCAGCCAGTCCCTCAACACCGCCCTCTTAGACCGAAATGGAGTCTCCTGCATTGATGGAACACACTTGATACTCCATGATCGTCTGTTCAAACCTCGGACCGCTCATCGCCCTCTCCCTTGGCTGCTGACTCCTGCTCCACACGTCTTTCCTGTTCGGCGCCTGCATCACCCGCTGCCGTTCGCTGTCCTCCGGCATCTCCTGCAACGGGCGGTCCGAATCACGTAGACCCTGAGGTGAGATTGGCACGGCGTTCGAGTCGGAGACGTTTTGGACGGGCTTTGGTGGTGAAGGGTCGTTGGTGGGGACGCGGTCTGAGGTCCTGTCGCTAGTGGAATATGAGCGGAGAGGCAAGAGACGGGGATGTAGACGGGGATGGATTGAGGATATCCAAGCGCCCCGAATAGGTGCAAACATGTTGGCAGATGATGTTTGCGGTCCGCGACTCTTTAGGATGGTGATTAACATAAAAGCGATGGTTTCCAAGTATCGAAGTTGAAGTTACACGCCTCGGCTCACCTGCCATTCTATACTTACTGGTAGTCTCCGCATTGGATCAAATTCCTGCTCTCAGCACTTTGCTATGATGATTTACGACATAAACAATAGAGCTTCGGTGGGTCGTGTACCGAATTTAATGAGTCCGTTCACTGCTGATCATTATAGGTCATAGCGTAACGTAGCTGTCACAATGTCCAACCAAAACCCTCCACAAGCACGCCCTTCAAAAACCATGTCCTCCCGCTTAATGACGATGAAGGTACTCTTCTCTGTCTTTACTCTTCGGTTGCTTTTAGATTGTCCCATTAATCTTCGGCTTTTCAGTTCATGCAACGTGCTGCAGCCTCTACTCCTCCTTCCACGCCTCAATCGCAGCCCCGCACCCCAGATACTCCCCCTTCCAAACGCCAGAAAGTATCTGCTGCTCCATCTTCGACAGCCACACCACCTTCTGATCTACAGCTGATGCAAACCGCTTTGACTGAGGAGGAAGAGAAGACGGAGAAAGCAATTGAGAGACTAGCAGAGGAGGCTGGAGAAACGAAATGGGTTCTGAGTACTGTGAATGGAGAAGAAGGGAATGGTGTAGGAGGGCTACGGGTTGCTAAAGCTGGATACTCTGAGACTGACCAAGAAGCTTGGAGGCCTGCTATGGTAGGGCGGAGGAGTTTCGGAAAGTTCAATCGAGAATTGGAGGTACGTTTTGTCATCGTCTTCAATTTCCACATGTTGATGATAATCCTTTAAATTATGTCTTCAGCTAACAGAATCTTGCATGCTTAGAAGCGACAATATGGCGTAGCCGATGAATCTTCGTCGTCCAGCGAGAAAGACTTCGAAGCCAGCGAAGAGGAGGACGGCGAAGAAAGTGATGATCCTGCTGGTACAAGAGAGTTGCTCCGTGCATCGCAAGAGGAGGCCACAAGGCGCGCCAATGACGAGCGACACCAGCGCAAACAACAGCGGATAACTGAAAAGGCTGAGCTAGCACGTCTGGCCGAGCAAAGACGAAGCAAAGAGGTGAAACTGAACAGGTTATTCTCTATTTCAGGGGGCGGTGGGGGTGGAGGCAAACCAGGTGGCAGCAGCAAGCAGGACATGGAGTGCTATTCGTGCGGCGAGAAAGGTCATGCCAAGAGGGACTGTCCACATAAAGGGAAGCGAAGGAACAAGGACTGGCATGGTAGGCCTGCGAAGAGATCTAAATCATCGTTAGACTACTGAAACGAGGGTGGAGAGTAAATATTTTACTTCTCAACAGTTTGGAAGGCATACCTATCCCAAAGATCAAACGTCCCGGATTAGCAGGCCTGAAGTTTCATCGAACTCGACATCTTTCTTCAGGTCGTCGCTGACTGAAGGGGGCCGGTATTTGGGGGCCTTGATTCTCTTTGGAGCCTTGACCCGAGTAGGACGGGGTGGTGAGGTCTTCGTACCCTCGTATTCATTCATTGAAATGGGCCTGCTATATCCGCTACCACTTAACAACTCGGCAGGCTTCCCTTTCTCCTTAGCATCCGATAGGAATCTTGGCCTGACGACAAAGATGGGCTCAGGAAGGTTCTTGCCAGACCGCAGTTTTGGATAGCGTGATTGCCCTGAACGGAGCGGTGACACAGGTTGTTTTTGGCTCGCATGAGACTGTTCTAGATGTAACCTACCGTTGACGTTGCTCTCCAGTCCGCCAGCCGTAACCCGAGAGTGGTCCACGACTCTGCTAGAGTGCCTCGATCGAGCAAGTGGTGTTGAGCTGTTCCGATGATGTCGTTGATCCGGGGGGTGACCTTTTCCGGCTGCTCGTACGGTCCTCGGCGGACGTCCTCTGACCGGGAGACCTTGAACGTCAACCTCACTGCCATCTTCGCTATCAAGGAAACCATCGGCACCATCAATCTTAATCTCCTCTTCTGCTGGGAATCGCGTCTTCGACCCGGCGATTCGTCCGTTCATGCGATGGGATCTTGAAGCGCCCGATGTGCGATAATAGCCAGCGAAGGCATCGTATGGTTCTGTCGAAGAAGGAGGGTCGGTGTAAGAGTCGTCAGAGGAATGTGAGCTTGAGGTGTCGTTCACGTCCTCGCTCGGTATAATCCTCTCTTGCACATCCATCGCAAACCTGACTCTCTTAGCAGGAGGAGCTTTAGTCAGTCCTCCGAGGGGTATGGAGGTGTGCCTTTTGGATGATTTGTCGTTGCACCTTTGTGTTGTCCGCGAATTAGTTGGCTTCGGGGGCTTGGGCGCTTGGACGCTGGCTTTACTGTTTGCCCGTTCGTGAATCTGGTCTTCGTCACTGGTTGATGGCGGCGACGACAGTGGTAATAACGACGCCGACGACGGCAATGATGAGGATGAAGATGATGACGAGTCCTGTACTCGCTTATTCTCTACAAATGCAAGATTTGTCTTTGCATTCTTTGCCAAGCGACAACCCTCTTCATCTCTCGATGATGACGATGAGTCACTAGGATTTTTGGCAATACCATCTTCGTCGTTCTTCGAAAGTCGCGTTTCTAGTACAACCTTTTCTTTAATTACTCCACCATCTATCGCCTCAGGCACAACAACCCGTTGCTTGTTCTGGGCCACAGGAGGAATAGCGGCAATCAATGGCTGGAAGAACTCTTCTCGAGGCCGGCTCGGCTCCAATGAATCGAAGTAAATGCCGGTGAGACCGAACCTGACCCGACACATGGTGAGCAAAAGGCCGAGGTGGACTAATAGCAGATAAAGCCCCAAACTACTGCACTCTTTACGCAAAGACAGACCTTCGGACACATCTTATTAAGTGTACACGCTCATAAGAAATATAAATACTGGCGCCGTAGAAAGGTGCTCACAATACAAGATATTCCTTCCTTATTGAGGAACTGGGAAAGTTCAGAGAGAGAACCGTGGACATGTATGACTGAAGGTTAGGAAGCGTTTTCGACCAGCAGAGCTTTTACTGGCGCTCGGGGTCGGCATGTATGAAGATGGCTATCACAAGTTTTGAGACATACTCCACTGAAGAAGTGATGGCTTATAGCTTGCTTGAGACAACTCATCGACTTACCAAACAGAACTCCGAGATTCTCGAACTGTTCCCCGGCGCTGTCCAGGCTTTTTACCTCGCTCAGGCTGAATCTCTTCGGATAACACTCACTATTATCGTCCTCCCATCTCCCTATCGACGTCTACTGGGCAACCTACGCAGGCCGAGACTTTCGGTATGCGCGCAGATCCTGACCAGCCACACCTTTGGGAGTTGATGGCATTCCACGACAGATTGAGCTCGTCTCCGTGGAGAATAGCGGACATATACATTTTGCAACCACGCCGGGTGGACTGCGTTCCCATACCCTGCTGATAGCAACACAGAAACAGTCTCTGAGATCTGGGAACGCTATGCAGCGGGCTTGGTAGCTAAGGTATCTGTACCTCCACGTGTACCATATGCGTGATACTCATCCTGATATGCGTCCAGCCTGCCGGAGATCTCTACAGACTGACCGGGGTTCCCCATGTGCTTGAGTTTTAAGTAAAAGGCACTTTATGATGGCTGAACACTCAAGAGCTGTAGTCTTTATCGGTCTACAGTAGATGTTTCGGTACAGGCCCATTCCCCAAATCAAGTCAGAATTTTGTGGCACAGAGTAGTTGACTCGGGAGAAGCGCCACTGCTTGTACTCTTGGATGCGACGCCACTATCGGCCCGCCAAATCCTGCGGACGCCACTATCGGCCCGCCAAATCCTGCCGTACCTCAGGCCTGCAATAGATAATATGTAATACAATTCACTCCATCTGCCATTACCTTCTTTGAGCATCAATCTTCTCCTACGTTTACCAGGCTCTTCTTTGCTGATGCGTTTTCTAAGCTATCATGGCTTGGCTATTTTTTCATGCACACAATTGGCAAGACGCGCACGCTGAATGCAAGAAGACGTTCCAATAAACACTTGGCTGCGCGGCTTGCAGAAGATATCTCCACTTCTCCACTTTGCTCCCTCTCTTCGAGAATCGCGCTGTCGGGATTAGTCCTTTCCCACGATTCTACCTGCTGCAGGATAGACAAGAACACCCTCATCATGTTGGGCCCCCTTCTAGAGTCGTGGGAATGGATCAAGGGCCACAATCCACGCTCGCTCTTCAAGAAGAAGCACCGCCTTAATTTCATCACCATACATTGTACGTCTCTCCCGCTTTTCGGTCGACGCCCGCTCATCCATATGCTAATGGAGTGGGCTTCGTCTCACAGATCTTTATATCCTGTTTGTCACGATTGTCGGATCAATCCTTCTATACCCAGCCGGAGGTTTGGCATACATTGACGCCCTTTTCTTCGCTAGCGGATCCGCCACGCAAAGCGGTCTCAATACGTAGGCTTTTTGTCTCACATGCAGATTGTTGCACGCTAATAATCTTTTAGGGTTAACATCAATGATCTCAATACGTACCAGCAGGTAGGTACGTCCGCATCTACCAACAGTCGGTCTCTGAATCGCCACGCAGCTTGTTTTCTATTTCCTGGGAATGATCTGTACGCCAATATTCATAAATACGTTCGTCGTCTTCGTCCGGCTATACTGGTTTGAGCGCCGTTTCCAAAACGTTGTGAGGGAAGCCCGCAACTTTCGACGCACTCGGTCGCGGACCAGAACGGAGCTCAAGGACGACGCGGATCCTAGTTGCACGGAGAAGGGTGTCCGAGGTCGTAGTATTGTCGTTTTGCACAATGGTAATGCGCTTAGGCAAAGGCGTGAAATGAGCGACCAGACAGAGAAGCCTGGTCTTGCCGAAGATCTTGGTAGCGAATCCTCTTCAAGTGAAAGAGGGAGGACTGAAGCTGTCGATCATGCTATCACCTTACCGCCCTTGAACCCGCCAACTTTCCGTCGCGACGTTACATTTGCAGACGAGGTGGAGAGCCCAGAGGCAAATGAAGCGGCGCCACAAATGTTACCGCAACGCTTGAGTCCCGAACAACATATCGCCATTCTGGAGAATCAAAGGAATCCAAAAGACAAAGGAGCGCTCCGAATTCCTGGCCCCCGCGATTTTGACCGCGGGAGTGTGCCGGAGCCTCTAGACTTAGACGATGATGGTGGGCAAATAGATCATCAAGTCACGAGTCTTGTCGAGCGACGAGGCATGCTCAATGGCACTTCGATGAAGCGAAACGTCACTATCGATGAGCCTCACCATCCTCGCGAACGCGCAAATTCAGCAGCCTATCCCAAGCTATCCTCTCGGAAAAGTGGTACCCTGGAGAATCTGAAGATGTCGCCTACAGATGAAGTAGCGCTCCCGTCCGGCCGTACAAAAGGTCGCACGGGTACATTCTCCAGCCTCAAAGGATGGGCTTCAAAGGAGAACGAACCAGCCACACCGTACCTTAGCTGGCAGCCCACAATAGGAAGGAACTCAGCCTTCGTAGATCTGACTGAGGATCAGAGGGAAGAACTGGGAGGAATCGAATATCGCTCCTTGAAGACCCTAACCGTTGTTCTTGTCTGTGAGTGTACCAGGCAGCCTTTTAATGCTAGTATATGAAGCTGACAGCTTCGTGCCAAGCTTATTATCTCATATTCCATCTTCTCGGCGTGGTTATCCTCCTCCCTTGGATAGTGCGTAGTAGCACGTGGGGACCTGTTGTAGATGGCGATGGCCAGTCAAGGGTCTGGTGGTATGATGTTCGATCTCTTAAGCATTGAAAGATCATTCTAATCCAGGCTCTAGGGGCATCTTCACTCCCGCATCCATGTTCAATGACCTTGGCTTCACACTTACCCCGGATTCTATGGAGTCGTTCCAAACAGCTATTGTACCACTTCTACTTGGAGCTTTTCTCATTGTCATTGGGAACACAGGATTCCCCTGCATGCTCAGACTCGTAATCTACATTGCTTCGAAAGTTGTGCCCCGTGAAAGTGGGGTTTGGGAAGAATTGAAATTCTTGCTGGATCATCCGAGACGTTGCTTCACCTTACTATTCCCAAACTCTGCAACCTGGTGGCTGTTCTGGATTCTTGTTATTCTTAATGGCCTTGACGTCATCTTCTTCATCGTACTCGACGTAGGTTCCCGAAAATTTTCAATCATAATCAAGGCTGACTTCTGACGTAGCTCCATGATTCCGTGCTTACCAGCATTAATCCCGCAGGTTACAGGGTTCTAAATGGTTTGTTTCAAGCTGCGAGTACGCGCACGGCAGGCTTTGCCTCGGTCGATCTGGCAAACCTCCATCCTGGGATTCAGGTGTCATACTTGATCATGATGTATATTTCTGTCTTCCCAATTGCTATCTCCGTACGGCGCACGAACGTTTATGAAGAGAAGAGTCTTGGGATCTATGGATCGTCGAGAGAAGAGACTGACGATGAAAAGGAGCCCAGCTATGTTGGCGCTCATTTACGTCGACAGTTGAGTTTTGACCTGTGGTACATTTTTCTGGGTCTATTCATCATCGCGATTGCCGAGGGCGACCGGCTTTCCAACACGAACGAGTACGCCTTCACCTTGTTCTCGGTGCTTTTCGAGATTGTTTCGGCTTATGGAACTGTCGGCCTCTCCCTTGGCTACCCAGGGATAGACGCATCATTTTCCGCCGAGTTTTCCGTGGTATCCAAGCTCGTGGTAATTGCTATGCAGATCCGAGGCCGACATCGTGGACTTCCTTACGAGCTGGACCGCGCTGTCTTGCTGCCTAGTGATTCATTGCACAAAAAAGAGGATGAGGATGCAGCCAAGCGGGTACAGAGACGCAATTCGAGCATCAGTAATCTGGAGCCAATGGGGAGAACATTGTCGAGTCGGACTCCGACCGTAGGACCAGTATCCGGGTCCACTTGGCCAGCCATGGCAGCGCCGGACACTGCGGCAGCTTCAGGTCGTGACGAAGATGGCATGAATGGCACGAATGGCAGTTTGGAGCAACATCCGAACCATTCAGGGCACGCCCAAAAAGGGCTTGGGAAACTGATGGCTGGATTGGCTGAGGGGCCGAGGATCAGAGCACGCGAATCTGTTGTACTTAATGAGTGACAGGCTCAGAGAAGAGGTCACATGCAGCATCGGGCGTAAATAGATGGACAGGAAAATGCATAGGAAGGCGTTTGCTTTAAGCGCGGCGTTGGAGGGTCTCTATGGTTGGTGTCGCTGTTCTGGACGGGCTCTAGGGTACACGAATGAAAGACAATCTTCCCAACATCACAGAATCAATTGTAGGCACAGATCATTTCTGCGTTCGACCCACCAGCTTTTTCCCATTGGTCCCTGCTCCATGTCGAAACGGTATTTAAGGTCACGAAAGTATTGAGCTCTACCCATGGAAAGACGGAATGAATTGACCATGAACCATTTAGGATTCTGAATTTTGTTTAATCCTAAGGCAGCACAACATATTTTTCTAAATGCGCCGGTATTGCACGCAGGAGATTTTTATCTGAGAGCCACTTTCGCGAAAATAGTCTGTCGGCATATCTGTATGCACCGTCACAGAGTATTGTCACTACTGTATTTCCCTGGCCCAACTTTTCTGCCACTTCCTTCGCCGCCGCAACGTTTAAACACGAACTTGCGCCCAAGTAAAGTCCTTCTTCGTCGAGACATCGATACACCATCTCAATACTTCTTTCGTCGCTGATGTGTACTGCACCGTCTAGCAGGTCTATATCTGGCTTGAGATTGTCCGTGACCCGACCCTGACCAATACCTTCTGTGATACTGGAGCCCGTGCGTTCTTTCAATTGGCCTCCACTGGTAATGTATGAATGCAATACACTTCCGGGCGGATCCGCTAAAAATGTCTTGACTCTACCGCCTGAGACGTCTTTCAGGTATCTCGTGACACCAGCTAATGTGCCACCAGTCCCAGTCGCACATGTAAACGCATCAATCTTGCCATCTGTTTGGTTCCATATTTCCGGTCCCGTTGTCTCTAAGTGGGCTCTTCTGTTTGCAATATTGTCGAACTGATTTGTCCATACTGCATTATCTAATCGCTCTGCGTGTCGCTTGGCTTGATGATTGTAATTCTCGGGATTTTCGAACGCCACGGCCGGCACAGGATAGACCTCGGCACCCAGCAATCTCAGCAAGTCGACCTTTCCCTGTGATTGTGTATTCGGCATGTATATTACTAATTGGTAGCCTTTTGACCGACAAACGTGTGCCAGGCCAATGCCTGTGTTTCCCGCGGTGCCTTCAACAACAGTGCCTCCTGGCCGCAGTTGACCCTTCTCTTCGGCATCCTTGACCACATACAATGCTGCACGGTCCTTCACGCTACCTCCAGGATTTTGAAATTCGGCTTTACCTAAAATCTCGCAGCCTGTCTCGTCGGATAATCGTTTGAGGCGAATTAGAGGGGTATTGCCAATGGCTAAAACATTGTAAGCTCAATAGATCCATGATGAAGATTGTAATTGCCCTCACCTCCAACAAAGCCATTGACATGTCCCTGTGCTTTAGCCAGTTGTACCCCATATTGATTTGACATCTCAACCTTAGAAGCTACTTCTGCAGCTTTATGCGCTGTGGTGGTTAGTCTGCGCACGCTCTGCCTGAACATAGTGTGCTATGCGACACGGTGATCGAGGAATGACCTTTAGAGTGATTTGGGACACGAGTACAAAGCGAAAGGGAAAATCGATTAACAAGATTTCTGTCATGGCAAACTATGATGCAAGTGACTACCGCGCGCTTACTTGCCGCTGCCACGCCATCCCCGTGTTTGTTGATTTTCGTTACGATACAGCTAATTGTTCAAGGACTTCAAACCTCGATCAAAATATGCCTGGTAGAGTGTCCGCTCGAGCGCCTACTGTGTCGCGAATCTCCCACAAGGCATCCGCCCAAACATTGGCCTCGCGCAAATCCACCACTTCTCCCTCAATAGTCATCCCAAAGGAAGGACCTACTTCTACCCTGCGCGCACAAGTCTGCAATGTGTTCAGTGACGCGCAAAAATCTGCAGCTGGGCACCGAAAACTGGTCGTAGGGTTGAGGAAGATTCAAGAGGCTTGCTGCTATGAGCCCACGCGGCCCGGTAAGCCTGGTCGACAAGAATTCAATGAGGACGAGTTCAACGTGGAGATTGCACGATGTGTGATTCGTCTGATGGGCGTGAAGAGAAGTGAAGCCGTAGGGGACCGGATCGTCCGCTTCTTGGGGTTTTTCTTGCGCCATGCAAGTGAGAAAGGTAGGTGGAATTCATCACGTCGGAGTCGATATCCAACCAGCGCTGAAAGTTTGCAGATGCTGCATTGATCACCGAATCCGAGATCAACGAAACGTATTCATTCCCCGAGACTGCGAGCACTCGATTGACCTCTCATATCTTATCCATCTTGCTGCAATTCCTTGCTTCGAAAGAGAAGACAGTTCGTTACCGCGCGACTCAGCTCGTTGCTCACATCATCAACTCACTGGACTCTATTGACGACGAATACTTTCACCTCCTGAAGATGGGACTTCTCAAACGCATCAGGGACAAAGAGCCGATGATCCGTGTCCAGGCTGTCCTAGGCCTGGGCCGGCTAGCTGGCAATGAGGACGAAGGGGACCAGGACAACGCCGACAGCGATGACGACGATGCAAGTGGATTATTGGAGAAATTGCTCGAGGTCCTTCAAAACGATCCTGGCGCAGATGTCCGCCGTTCTCTGCTGCTCAACCTACCTTTGACACCAGGAACCTTGCCGTACCTCCTAGAGCGTGCTCGAGACCTCGATCCAGCCACCCGTAGAGCATTATACTCTCGCTTGCTACCTGCTCTGGGGGACTTTCGTCATCTATCTTTGTCTATGAGAGAGAAACTGCTCCGCTGGGGCTTGCGTGATCGTGATGAGAATGTTCGTAAAGCTACTGCTAGACTTTTTCATGATCGTTGGATCGAGGACTGTGCGGGTCCCCAGCTGGCTGGTGGAGGCGGTGCGGCCGAGGAAGCAGTGACACCAAGTATTGAATGTGTACTAGAGCTGCTCGAACGAATTGACGTCCTCAACTCTGGAGTCGAAGATGGCATAGCCTTGGAAGCTATGGAGAAGTTTTGGAGCGGGCGGCATGACTACCAGGACATCCTCAGCTTTCAAGATCCATTTTGGCATCATCTGAGCCCAGAAAGCGTTTTTCTGGCGAGGTCTTTCAATGACTACTGTCACCAGCAGCCTGATGGAAAATATGAAACCCTGATTGAAGAAAAGATGCCCGAAGTAACAAAACTTGCATTCTTCCTCCAGAGATACACAAACAACCTGGTCGAATGCTTACGACGGAACCACGACAGATACAAAGGTGACGAAGAGGAAGACACCGTCGAACAAGAGTTCATCGTGGAACAGCTACTGCACATCGCGAAGACTTTGGACTACAGCGACGAAGTCGGTAGAAGAAAAATGTTTGCGCTTTTAAGGGAGACTTTAGCCATCGCGGAATTGCCAGACGAGATCACTAAGCTCTCTGTTGAAGTTCTCCGCGATGTTTGCGGAATAGAAGCCGCAGGAGAAAGAGATTTTTGTAGTGTCGTTCTTGAGGCGATAGCAGAGGTCCACGACGCTATCGCTGTTGCTGAACCACTGGCCGATAATGAGGACGAGAGCTTCCACTCAGCGCATTCGGAGATCAGTGACAGCACGCCGACCAAAGCTAAAGTAAGTCGGAGTGCTGAAGAAGACAAGGTCAAGGCCATAAAAGAGATTATGATCAACATGAAGTGCTTGCACATAGCGCAGTGTATGTTGCAGAATATTGAGGGAACCTTACAGCAGAACGTACACTTAGTCACGATGCTCAACAACCTTGTTGTACCAGCTGTTCGAAGCCATGAGGCCCCAATCAGAGAACGAGGGCTTCTTGGCTTGGGTCTTTGCTGTCTTCTGGACAAAGTATGTGAAAATCCTTCATCTGTCATGGGAAGTACTGACTGGGATTGGGGTGCAGACGCTTGCTGATGAGAATCTGAGCCTTTTCGTCCACTGCTTCACGAAAGGACACGATGCGCTTCAAGTCACTGCAATCCATATTCTCGCCGACATCCTGACAACTCACCCGAGCCTCATCTCGTCAGCAACCGCAGACGCCGCCTTACAAAAGTCGATTCTTAGGATCTTTGCTAAAGGCATGAAAGCAGAGCATACTCCCGATGTACAAGCAGCCGCCACAATCGCTCTTTGTAAATTGATGCTGACCTCAGTCATACAAGACGAGGATCTGCTTAAGCAGATCGTCATTTGTTACTTCGATCCCGCAACAAAAGATAATGCTGGGGTAAGGCAAGCTCTGAGTTACTTCCTGCCGGTATACTGCCACAGTCGCAGAGAGAATATGGAAAAGATGGCAAATATTGCGGGCGGAGTCATGCATTCGCTGATAGATATGAGTGAAGAGCTTGAAGAAGGAGAGGAAATGGTCGGGGTGAGTACGGTTGGAAATATGCTTGTCGACTGGACGGATGCGCGAAAATTGGTGGTCCAGGATGAAGCATCTATCAGCTGGGACGAGGCTGGGAAGAAAGAAGTCAAAGCTGTTAATGGAAACATTCATCTTAATCTGGCGGAGAGCCTTCTAGAACGGGCAAAAAACCATGGGTGTTCAAGTGAGAAGACTCGACGTCTTTTTCTCCGATGGTACTAACGAGTGATACAGAAGAAGACAAGAAAGCCCTCATCGCCATGCTCGGCAAGCTATTCATTACACCAAATTCCAAGACCGAAAGGCTTCAAAGCACGATTGAGCTTGTCGAAGAAGCTATTGAGAATAAGGTTGCTCAGGACGCGCCCTCTCGCAACGCCCTTCACAAATTGCATTCAGCCTTGAGCAAAGCTTTGGGAGAAACTGGGAAAGTTAATCCAATCTCAGAGGACACGCTGGCGCCTGCAGGGGGAGACGACGGTCTGACTATGCTAGAAGGGCAAGTGGGGGAAGAATCTGTAATGGGTACCGAAAAGGATATTGGGATTGAAGGTATTGAGGATGAAGGCGTTACGGTGGCACAGGACTCATTGTTGGAAGAGCTTCTAGACGATGAGGATGATGACTCGTGATTTCTCTGCAATTGCGGATATTTTGCTTGCGCCGTGTCTGTTCGCTGGAATAGTAGGCTAGAAGACTGGGAGTTTCTGTTCCCGCGAAGAGCAAAGGGTTCTCTGTCTGCTCGAGGAATTCATTAAGTGGCACAGTTGAACCAACACTAGACGCAATTGTAGGGTGGTATCGCTTGGAGGATGATGTTGTTTGAGCAAGCCGGCGATAAAGCTCCAAAAAAGTGACGTTCAAATTTTCCCTGAAAGCCGGGTAGTGAGAGTGATTCATCTTGAGCGCGGCGCTAGTCAGTCAGGCTTCTCGAGTATATAAACCTGGCATATCCCACACCCTTTTTAATTCGGCATCTAAGTGTAAGTACCACAACTGGCTTCTCCCTCAAGAAAAATTCTGAACATTTATCTAGGCAGAGGCGTTACGAGTATCAGTGAGGATTCGTCCGAGATCTCGTTTTTGCTAGTTGAAAACTATAACTATGACCACTCCTTATGGTCTTCGGATCGTATGGGAATTTTTGGATTATCAATTTGTCTTTGACAAAATTCACTTCTTTTCATTGCTGGCCGTCCTTTATGGATGGCCGCGAAGAAGAGATCGATGACGCATAGGAGGAAGCACTGGAGACCCACGTAGGTTCAACATCATAGATAGACATTTCAGTACAAATGCGGTAACCTCGATGTCATCGGGTCACCTTAGACCTCCGTTGCGCTTCCTCCTTCCTACCTAGACCTTCATGTTGCTGTGGTCAGTCTCGACCTTAGAATAGTCATCCACCGCCGACACACATTTGATTACCCAGCACCAGCGCCGTACAGATATCGAAGGATCCTGCATCATGGTCAAGACCGCACTGGTGACTGGCGCCACAGGCTTTCTTGGGCGTCAAGTGTCACAAGCTTTCAAGTCAGCAGGGTTTCAGGTCGTGGGCACGGGCTTCACCCGAGCCAACCCTCCTGCTATCCTTAAGATCAACTTGTCGAATCCCGCTGAGATCTCGTCAGCCTTACAAGAAGTCAAGTAGGCACTGTTTCCTCCAAGCCTCAATTTTGAATTCTTTGATAAAGCAGTCCAACTGACGACTTGGGCTCAAGGCCTGATGTCGTAGTACACTGTAAGCTTGGGTGCAAGCCCAGTGACTTCTACCTACATTTCTATATCTGCTCACTCATTACCAACAGGCGCGGCAAACCGATTCCCTGACAAATGTGACGCCAATCCAGACGAAGCCAGAAAGATTAATGTCGAGGCTTCCAAGCATCTTGCTCAGGCGACCTCGTCAAAGAACATTCTGCTCATCTACATCTCTACCGATTACGTATTTCCGGGAAGACCGGGAGAAGCCCCTTACGAGGCCCATGCAACACCAGAACCTACAAACCTATACGGACAGACGAAGCTTGATGGTGAGAGGGCAATATTGCAGGCGACGGAGGGGACTAGTTTCGGCGTCGTATTGCGTGTGCCCGTGCTGTACGGCAAGGCAGAGGACCCTAAAGAGAGCGCTGTGAATATCTTGATGGACGTTGTGTGGAAATCTCAGGAGAAAGACGCAAGGACGAAAATGGACGACTGGGCAAAACGTTACCCCACGAACATTGAAGATGTAGCCCGGGTGTGCGTGGATACGGCTACGAGATACCTAAATGGCGAGCGGTATCGACTGCCTAAAATCTTGCAGTTCTCTTCTGAGGATCGATTTACAAAGTATGAGATTTGCCAACTGTTTGCGGAGATTATGGGTCTTTCACTTGATGGTATGGTCGCAGACGACAAGGCTGGCAACGACCCGAATGCAAGCGTGCAAAGACCTTACGACACTCACCTATCAAATCAAGCGTTAAAAGATATAGGGATTGATGTGGGAACCCAGGACTTCAAGGCTTGGTGGTGAGTAGCAATGTGCGGGCTCTTTGAGATAGGACGCTGACTTGAGCATAGGAGGTGGGAGGTAAAGGCTTTCAAGAAGTGACACGCGTGGGGAATCGTTAAACCACCGACGGACCAACGACGCATTTGGCAACTTATGTCCCGGCTGGGCTCACGCTTTCAAGCTACACACAAGATCTTGCTTTGTGAAAAGTCTCGGAGTCCTAGGTAGAGTCCCTGCATGCGTCCGATGGAAACGCATACTGCGCCAATAGATCTTGCCGATGATATGGTTAGGACCTGATCAAAGATTAGACCGGCTCTGGCTGGAAACACGTTACCCCGAATATCAATGATGAGTCTCAAATCTCCAGCCACTCTTTACATCTTGGCTGGCCCTGGGGTCTGCTTTGTGCTGGATGCTTCGCACTTGGCTGAACCCATGGACCTTCTCCAGCTCCCTGAAACCGGCGGCAACGATATGCAGTCCTTCAAATGCTACCTCGGTCTAGTGAGTCTCGCAGCGATGGGCTTGAAGGCACAAAAGCTGCTTCACTATGAACACATCGACCCATGTGAGGTTATCAACTATCAAGTTCCACATAAACAACCACTCTGCAACTGATCCCTCATGAGCTACCCCAATCTTCATGAATCTTTTTTTAAGCTCCTGTATGCTTCCCTTTCATCTTCGCACCCCAAAGACGTTCATGAGGTGCGAACGTCTTTGGGGAGTAAAGGTCGAGGGCAACGCAGGATTAAACCCGTTTATTGCCCAGATAATAGGCCAATGTGAGTCTTGGACATCATATTTGGATATTAACCATTTGATCTTCGAATTCGTGCATGGACAGTTGCATCTGGATAAGTCAATGATTGGGCGAATACTTCAACCTTCAACATACATGAAGCATTAGCATTCTGGAGCTTCAAAATCGCTCGTTGAGATCAATTCATGGTCTCATCTGATGCTGTAGGTCAGAGCGCCGGTAAGATTAATCGTACAGCCGTACTGTAGGGGTACCTTAGTATCTATTTCAGGTTCTGCTGAGGCAAATTAGTAGAGATCTATTGGTCAATAGGGGACACGGTACTAGTGAGTTTTCGGGCGGCAGCACATGTCAACTGCCGGAAAGATTCCCTCACCCTACCGCGCTTTTATCCTCCTCTCCAGCGCAGCGACTAAGATGCGGAGTTGTGGGGTTGTTCACGGCCGCTCTGCCCATGGTCCTGTAAGCTTTGGAAAGCGACTTCGGCTTTTTCTTCGGGGACATTGCCGATTACGCTTTCCGTTCCAAAAGTACGCCCGTAGAGCAACGAATATCTTCTAACCAACCCACTCACTGCCCACTTTCTAACCCCCCAATAAACCATCCACTTATTCGCTAGACCGTCTGACACCGGAAAGCAATGTGGCATGCATGTGCCGAATCCTTTCCTATGCCGTGCCATTACTTGAGTAGAACCAAATCATTCTCTTACTGATAAAGCTGCTCGCTGTCCGCCGGCAAACATTTCATGCACATCTTCTGTCTGCTCAGCATTCCATTGTTACTTTGATCCAATCACAGTGTGGGGTGTTTCTCTTTCGCTCACGATGTTGAACTCTACTCTATCTCTCGTCTTGCAGCACTGGCCTACCGCTGTTCTATTTTGCCTGGCTGCCTACCTAGCCAGGAATCACTTTTACAATGGGTTACACAGGTATCCTGGTCCTGTGCTGGCATCTCTGACAGACTGGTGGCGCTTTTTCGATGTACTAGGCAGAAGACCAGACATTACACACATTCGGCTTCATCGCAAACATGGTGATATTGTTAGGTTGGGACCGAATATGCTGTCCTTTGCGGATCCTCGGGCATTGAAGACGATTTATGGCCTGAATAAGGGGCTTACGAAGGTGAGAGCTCAAACATCTCCAGGATAATAGGTGATCAGCTGAATCGAGAAAGTCCGAATTCTATCCAGTACAACAGGCTATTTCAAACGGAGACCGACTGCCTTCTTTATTCTCGACCACTGATAACCAGTTCCATGCGGAATTGCGGCGTTGCGTGAACAGTGCCTTTTCTATGAGCTCTCTCGTCCAATATGAACCATCTGTGGACATCGTGACGGAAATGTTTCTGGATCAGACGGAAGCTTTGTTCTCGTCAAAGAATGCAATTTGCAACTTTGCAGAGTGGTTACAGTTCCTCGCCTTCGACGTCATAGGTCAAATCACTTACAGCAAAAGTCATGGCTTTGTGGATCGTGGAGAAGACGTTGACGGCATGGTTGGCTATCTCGGAAAATTGTTTTCCTACGTTGCACCGGTATGCTTCCTTTGCAAAGAATAATATCAATGCTCAGCCCCGTCTACGTTAGGTCGGCCAACTCCCTATGCTAGATCGCTTCTTTCTTAAAAATCCGCTTTTACGCTTCCTCGACAAGCACGGAATCATGTCTTTCACCTTCCCTGTCGTGACTTTTGCGAAAGCCCGTATCAATGAGCGCCTCAGAGAGATTGAAGCGTTGAAAGCGCACGGAATCGACACTGTCGCCACGGTAACGGGTCGCCGAGGTGACCTGCTCTCAATGTTCCTCAAAGCCAAAGAAGATCGCCCTGCATTCTTTCACGATGGGCGCGTGCTCACCATGGCAGTCAGCATGGCTTTTGCCGGCTCAGAAACCACGGCGATTTCACTTGCTGCCGTCTTTTACTATCTCCTCAAGAACCGTCCCTGCTATGTGAGATTGATGGAGGAACTGGACGAGGCCATTCATACCGGTATGGTCGAAAACCGTCCCAACGGTCTGGTGTCTTGGACCGAATCCCAAAAGCTTCCGTACCTTGATGCTTGTATCAAAGAGGCATTTCGTCTCCATCCAGCTGCAGGACTCCCTTTGGAACGTGTAGTCCCAGCAGATGGTATGGAAATCTGCGGGCAGCTCATTCCTGGTGGGACAATTGTCGGCTGCAGTGCTTGGGTGATACATCGACGGCCAGAGATATTTGGAGAAGACGTTGAAACTTATCGCCCAGAGAGGTGGTTGGAAGCGAACGAGGAGAGCAAGAAATCTATGGAAGGTTGCATGATCCAGTTTGGCATGGGCGCCAGGACGTGTATCGGAAAGAATATCAGTCTTCTGGAGATCTACAAGTTGGTACCTAGTTTTCTCAGGAGGTTCGAGGTAAGATCTTTCTATGAAGTTCCTCGCCTGCTGTCGGATGGCGAAGCTACCGAAGAGTGGTAATACTGACTGCTCATCTACCACAGGTCGACTTGGCAAACCCCAACAAAGAATGGAGATTGCACAATGCTTGGTTTGTCAAACAGCTGGACTTCAACACAACCTTTAGACCTCGAAGCATGGCATAGGCCAGCTTTAAGGGGTACCTTTGTGTATCGACAATGCCACTAGCTTTTGGATACATGAGACCTTTCCCATTCTTCAGACTTGGATCTTTTCGTTGGCGACTTTCTTTGTCGAAGATCTTGCTCTTCTTGCCACTAGGTCCCGCGAGTGTTTGATTCCAAGCGGTCATTCTGTCTTTCTTTTGTCTCGTCCTCTGCAAATTGCGATAAGAGCGTGAGTCGCTTCGAGTCTCGATCGGTGTTTTTGCACGGTGCGCGAATGCAAGGCAAAGCGTTGTTGGTCTATTTACAGTGCTTTCCACACAGGTATGGAGAGATGAGGTCATCACATGAAATATCTCCCTCGCTCTCGGTTTGATTCTGCACGTCTCCAGTCTGTTCGGCTTTCAGATTTCCGCGAAAACCCCCTTGCCATTTGTTTTTACAATCAGCACCGCAAGCCCTCCTACAGTTGTGACCACGCCGCTAAAGATTGAGACCTGCCCGAATCCCCAGTAATGAGTGACGAGAGCACCATTGATGGGCAGGCCAACGAGCGCGCCAAAGGATACAATGCACATCCCCATCCCGATGTAAGTGCTGATATCTCTCGGATCCTCAGCAGTTGGAGCAAAGCAGACGACCATCAGACAAACATTTACTTCTGAGCTAAATCCATAGAGGTATACAAAACGGTGAACACTACGTTTGAGATGATTATCTGCCAAAAGACAGACAGTATGTTAGTGCTGACACTGGCAATGCATAGCATATCAAGACAGCCAATTTAATCCGTCTTAACGATGGGAAACACTCTTCCCAAGAATGGGACTCAATCAGAAGGACGGTGGAATAGAAAAGAAGTGGCGTGCTTATCTTATTGACTTCGACGTACGTTGACAGATCGAAGATGGGGACAAAGCTGTCGAAGGTCCCGAGGAACATAGCGCCAATGAAAGTAAGATAGGGTCTTTTCTGAAGCAGAGAAATGGAATGGTCTTTCCGTTCTCAACCAAAGACGAGTACGGATGTCGAGGGTTGAGGATAAGATGATGGCTAGCATAATGAAGCCACATATACGAATGATCCATTCGAAACTCAAGCGCGAGTTACTCGGCATCTTGTTGAGTTGCGTTAGGAGATGAAATGCCTCCAAGGGGTGATCCCGCAACAGCTAGACCCACTGCCGCTCCGCGTTTCTTGTTGAAGTACTGCGATATGGCTGCCATTCCTGGGGCCATCGTTATTCTGTCCAGGGTATCAGCCGCAATGATAAGCCAAGACGGGGCTCATTAACCGCTCACCCCAAAGATGGGCCGGCAAGGATTATTTGTGCGAGCAAGTATTGGTAGTATGATTTGCAAATACTGGTGATCATTATCGAGAATACGTACCTGTACACAGCCGCAAAGGCCAGATCACCTTGCGTATGGATTAACCGCCCGGCTCGGAGAAGGAGACAAGAGATTGGGACGGTTGACGAAATCTCTTAGATCCGAAGCAATCAAAAAGCGCGCCCCCGAAGGCCATGGCTTCTAACAGGAAGAAGATCAGCAGACATTCAATGCAGGAAGCCATCGAATATCCATCATATTTTCTGAGGCAGAACCTTTGAACGATGGATCGCATGGGTTCCGAAGTCTACGAAAGCCATTCTGAGCCTCTCCAGGAACGCAGGAGGAGGCCAGCTTTGCCTTGCCTTGGATGTCGACGTCGCAAAATCAAGTGCGACAGGAATAAACCTTGCCGTCAGTGTTCGCAATCAAGGAAACCAAAATTTAGCTTCAGCCTTGATGCTCCTACATTGGCCGCTGTACATGGAGCGAGGACCGCAGCGCCAATTTCGAATCCAGGGGAGAGGGGACTAGCTCAGTCAGAAACATTGCAAATCGTGCAAGCCTCGTTTCCTTCTATCCATGACTGTCCCACTCCAGCTTCTTTGCCACAAATAGTGGGAAACTTAGAAGTCCATCGCTTGATACACTCGCCGTCTAAAAACAGCAGTCATCCTGCCCATGGAGATTCTAGCAGCCAACAGGTAATGTGAAGCCTGCCTGATGATGTCTTTGTTCAACGCGCGACTCCAAATCTGCGATGAATCTGGTCAAAGTTTAGATTATACGGACCGAGTCACTAAAGGGCTCTTTTGAACAGTTGCGAAGAATTGTCGTTCCACGCTGTGTTCATCTGACTGAGTTGTCAAGTTTGAGAAATTGGGAATTCTGTCAATAACCACGATGGGAAGAGCACATCTTCCTCCAACACAGGTATTTCTGTTTCAGAACTTCATGCATTATTTTTTAGATGCAAGGACTTGGCCAGAAAATTGGCCAGAAAAGCCAAAGTCCAACGGCCCAGTCAATGGCGTCTTCCCGATGACCTCAAGGATTCCGTCCCTAATCGAGAGATTGTCGACGAGCTGAAAGGTCTTTACTTTCGAAACTTCGAGTCAGCATACAGAATCTTGCATGTCCCATCGTTTCAAGCTGATTACGAGCGATATTGGACCAGCCCAAAGGCCGTAGACGAAGACGATGGCTTTGTAATGACGTTGCTCTTGACCATGGCGATTAGTTCATGTTTCTATCAAGGTCCTGCGTATGAGGCTGATCTACGCTCAAGTGCTTCAAGGTTGGATATATGCTGCTCATTCTTGGCTCTCCGCGCCTTTCCACAAAGCGCGGCTCAATATAGATCTCCTTCAGGTGCATTGTCTTCTGCTTCTCGTTCGTCAAACCAACTCGGCGGGACCTGAACTGGTGTGGATTACGGCGGGCTCTCCTCTCAGGACAGCGACACACATGGGTCTGCATCGAGATCCGACGAATTATCCGGAAATGCCTGTGTTTTATGCAGAAATCAGGAGGAGATTGTGGGCCACAATACTAGAGATGACTGTTCAATCCTCCCTGGATTGTGGGATGCCTCCAATGATATCCCGTAATGACTTTGACACTCTGGCACCTAGAAACATGAAAGACGACGAGATTTCTGAAAGCGTCCAGTCGCCGCCCACGTCCGACTGCGCCCAGAACTCGCTGCAGATCAGCCTATTCAAGTCTCTCCGCACAAGGTTAGGAGTAGCACAACTCATCAATAATTTCGGTCAAAGCATTCGTACGAAGACATTCTTCGCTTGAGCTCAGAAGTGTTTGATGTTATCCGTGAATGAACCATCTCGGTGCGATCAGATCGTTCTTCTACGCCAGGTCAGATACCATCAGTGTACCACTGCAATTCTATCGAGCACCTCCTCCGTCGCTTCCTCCTGGCTCTTCATCGCCCATTCGGCACTAAAGCTCGAAAAGACCCACGGTTCCACTTCTCCCGGAAATTCTGTCTTGAACAAGCTCTTATCATCTCTTCTCAACAAGCTGACAAAGACTTTTCGCGTCTTATAGCCCTGAGGGGAGGCATGTTCAAAGAAATACGGCGCCTTAACTCTCTGTCTTGAACTCGTCACTCATTCAGAGGCCGATGATAGGAACATGACTCTCCATTTGAACAGAGCTCAGAGAGAACCAATGCACGAAACAATAAGAAGGGTCATCTCTCTTTCAGAGGAAAGGTTCCGTAGTCGCGACATTTACATCAAAGACATCTGTTCTTGAGCATAGCAATGGGCCAGATCGAATCAATGAAGGCTGGCACACCATCCGAGGCAGGCATGTTCTCGGCAGCGAAGAAGGCCGTTTTGACAGGGTACGAGACATTAAAGGCTCGTATCCCCCACCCCCAATTGTGAACGCTGATTCTCACCCTGATGAAGCGGTTCGCGAAGCAAGAGCAACTGGAATTACGCAACTTTGGCACGAGATTCTGCCGGACGTCAATCTTGACTTCGATTTCGACGACGCCGCTTCATGGCTCTTTCCAACTTTCGATGAAATCCCGTGTTCATCAATAGGTTGATGTTCATTCAACTGTGTTCGAGTGCAAGGGGCAGCTCTAGACCACTTGACACATGTCTTTTTCCTGTCCTCTTTGACACAAGTAAGCGGACATAGTCGGAGTTCATCGCCTTGCAGCAGGCTTGACAGCTTTCCGGCATCTCCCCTAAAATAGCGGCCCGGCCTCTTCCAGATGATGAGTACCAGCAGAGAGCGATGCAGCGCACACCAATTTAACAGTCTCCTGTGGTCAGCCTTTCACAAAATCCCTCACTATCGGCTAGCAGCCTGATCAACACCCATTCACACGCATTGAAGTTACACCTTTTCCGTAACGGTCGTCCCAATGCACGTCAGCCAACCTACATTAGCGTGAGAAAATTGAGTACATCTAGGGAGGTTTAGCAATATTACTGAAATCATTTTTTATAATGTTTTCAATGCGGGAGTAGCCTTACTCGTATTCACTAGGATTTGCAGCCTCTATAAGACTTGATCTTTATAATTTATTATTCTATCTATCGAAATGTGTTATCTAACTAAATTGAAAGGTTTATCGAGGTAAGAAAGATTTATCGAGGCTTAATAATATATATATTCGTAATACTCTTTATAGTTAGATACTATTAAATAATTATTAGATCTAATCAACTAAATATTCTATCTATTACTTTTAATAGATTATAAACTTAAATTATAAAATATTTATTTAATATATTACTTATAAACTAGCTAATTTATTAATTAAGTGCTTAAAGAATAGAGAAAAGTTTTATTATAATATTATATCGCTTAATAATATTATCGTAATATTAAATATCTAATTAATTTACTTTAAGATAATTTAATAATATTCTTTAAGCTTTATAGATCTCTAAATTATAAATTATACTTATTATATAATAATTATAATTCTTATAAAAATCTCGCTATTATTATCTTTAGTTATTATATTATAAAGTAGAGAGCTAAAATAAAGAGCTTAAATATTAAATTAATTAAAAATTTTATTAAGCTAATTAATTAGCTAAGCGCTTTAAATAATATTAATTTTATCTATAAAACGCTAAATCTATAAATAAAAATAATATAATTATAAAAGAGATAATATATAAAGAAATATTTTTATTTTTT